GTCACCGCTGCTTGTGAAGCACCGTGGAGTCTCCTATATAGAGTCAGTTTTGAGGAAAATGTTGTTTAGCTTTTGGTGATGCTAGAAAGAGATCTCACAGGATTGCTTTGCAGGCCTGACGAAGCTGCTGGTTTTGGGTTAACAAGAACCCAAGGTGAAGGCCTCCGGAAGCAAAGTCCTATAATGATATTACATCAGATTCGGTACTTTTATTGAGATTGCCCGATGCCTACCTTGCTGAAGCCATATAACACATGGACCAGATCAGGATCTATCAATCCCGTGAAGTCCAGCGAGAGGATCGAAGTAAACGGGACAGCGTCGGGGTCACCAGAATCAAACACACAGGAAGCGTAGACTTCATCACTGATGAGGTGGAGCTTATGCTTGTTGCAGAACCGGGCAATAGCCTTGAGTGTCTCAACTGGGTAGCAACGGCCTGTCGGTAGCTAATTAGTTCAATTCGATGGACGAGGCGACATGCAAACTCACCAACAGGGTTATGTGGATTGACAAGCAGCACAGCTCGGATCTTCTGGCCCCGTTCCTTGGCAGCCTTCAAAGCTAACTCATACTTTTCCACAGAAAGAGGAGAGAATGTCTCTTCCGTAGCTGTGTCAGCATAGACCATTTCGACGCCAGACTCAACACCGTAGTCGAGCTCAAAGCGACCGTATACAGGTCTGCTGACGAGGATCCCATCCCCGCCTTCTGCGAGACTGTATCCCAGCATACTACCAAGAGAGGTCGGAGAGTCTGCAACGAATACATCCTCGGCATTAATTGGGGTATGTGGTTTGAGGATATTTTTCAAATGAACTGCTGCAGCGGCTGGTAATCTTGCAGCTGTCGGCGCACTTGAGCGGTAGCTGATGGAATCTTGTGTAAAGATGACCTATGTTAGGTTGTTAGGGTGGGATTCTTTCAGTCAATGGATATATGTTGGCATGAAGGCGAATATGCACCTTTTCGTTGATATATTTGGCTATCTCTGCTCTCATTGGTTTCTGGTTGGAGGTTAGCTTTTGTATTTCAGGATTGCGGGGGATATAGATACATTCTCCGCCATTCCAAATGAGATAAGCCCCGTCGGGTTCTCCTCTGGGTCATAGGTCTGGGTTAGACTAAAGCGCCAGGGTTTGGCCAATTCCTTGACATTTTCGCTTCCCCGAGGAGATAACATCATGAGATATAGACCAGCGTGAATGTCGACTTGCCGACTGCTGAAGAACAATATATATTTTGAAATTCAGACTAGATACTGGAGCAACTTACAACATCAGACGAGTTAGTTGCACTGTTAAACAAACCCGGGTTAGTGACTCGAAAAAAAAAAGCTTACGGAACAAAATAAACAGGGATTCGAAATAAAGTCGTGGGAAAAGAAGTTAAAAGAATTAAGGTGTAAGACCTGGAGGCTAATCCCAGCCCCCACCTGCGGGGACCGTGGGGACGAGCACTTTATTGTGTAACGTAGATATGAGCCCAACTATGGAGATCGTTGATGGTAGTATAACAATAATATTGTACATAGGTATAAGAGAGGAGAAACGCCGAGCCGCTATGCTAAATGGCCTAATGTACACACGTCCATACCGAAATCACAACAATCAATATCTCGTCCGCGGCCGTTTGCGCTTGTCGATTTTCTTCTTCTCTGCAATAAAGTTCCAACATTCAATTGGACGCCGAGACCCAATATGCTTCCCGTTGGGAGTGAAAACCTCGACCTGCGGATAGGAAGGTTCGTCTTCAGCGTCCCGCTTGCTGCGGATTTGTATACTGAGCTCGATCCAGCCGCAGCCCTCGATGAGAATATCTGCCGACATCACGCGGTATGGCAATGAAGGGACTGGGATTCCCCTGTCCTTGACAGCTTTGGCGAGTGAGGTAGGAAGATTCGAGGTGGTGGTATCCCACTTTAAGTCGAATATACCGGCTGAGGCTATTGTGCTGCCGGTTCCTTCTTTCATAATGACAGTTCCCCGGTATGGGCTTTCTTCGGCCTGCGTGTCAATTGCCTTCTGTGTGTTGGTGATATGCGACTCGAGAGGCAGGAAACTGGCGGACATGACTGTATCTTGGGGGTTCACCGGGGTAATGCGGATAAGACCACCACCAAGTAGAAGAGACTGGCCGGGTTTAATGGTCAAACGTTCAGGTTTGATCCGCTTCGTCATGATCAAATCACGCTTGTGTTCATCCCGAACGAAGTCCTCTAATAGACCACGCTCTAGGCCGGGCAAATCGATGACCTCGCCCTTCCCACGACCGAATGGAATACGGATAGGCGAGACTGTGGTGCCTGGAAGGGAAGACACGACTGGGAGCACAGGATAGAGATCCTCGCGAGGGGCAGGGGGCAGAAGGCTGTCGGGGTTAAGAGGTGTGTCGTCTCGCTGGTTTGGAAGCTCATCTCCACCACGGCGGCGTTGAACCCACTCTTCGATTTTCTCCACATTTCTGGAATCCTTGGGGAAACAAGCTTCAATGAAGCTGCTCTTTCCAACATTTGCCTTGCCAACGACCCAGATGCCGCCGCCATGCTCTCGGATCTCTTCCTTGACTTCTTTGGTCCACCAGCCACGGTGCGCGCTAATCATGTGCACGTTGCCCAAACGGGCCTCCCTCCCTGACCTTCCCAAAGCCGCGCGTAGCTCTGTGCGAATGTAATCCATTTTCGAGTCCACCTGCTCTTTCGTTGCCGCCAAAAGGTCGGATCGCGTAATTATAAACGACAGGGATGGGAGTTTTCTGCCGCGTTCATATTTCTCATTGGTAGATCGTCGGTTCCGCGAACGTTGCTCCTGCAGCATTAGCGCCCAATGAATGCGTGGAACGAGGGACATTGGGAAATCTGCGGCATCGATAATATGGTAAACACGGTTGTATTTGTACGGCGATTCTTCCAGATAGTGTCGTATAGACATAATAGTCGGTTTAGGCGAAGAGACTGCCTTGTTGTGGTGTATCAAGTCGTGGCAGCGATCGCAGACTTCGGTGATTCGACCCGGAGACCCAAGGAAGTTGTTCTCAGGATCGACAGCTTCATCCGGAAAAGCTCCATCTTCATATCTAGTTAGCAAATGGTGCGCTTGAGCAATAGTCTAGATGTCCTACCTCGAATGGGCTTTGGTGGCATTGCCTCCTCAATGGCACCATTCTGTTGTGCACTCAAGTCATCTCTATCAGTGGATGTAGCCTTGATTTCTTGAATATTTTTGTGTTCAATCGCTTCCTTTCTCACGGCCAGTAGCTTTCGAATCTGCTTTCGTGATGTACCATAGTATCCCGGCTCGTTTGCCTCAACTGTTTGGGAGAATGCGCCACATCCTGGGCAACACACAGGCAGGGAATCGGCTATGGTGTCGAGCTGAGGCTCAGCTTGGGGCTGTTCTCGCTGAAAGCGAGTTGTTGAGAAGCATCGGCATTGTCTGCGGAGGTCCGTAAGGACTTTGGATTGTGGCGCGGCGCGTGATGGTGAAAAGAGCGTTTGCGCCTGAGATCGAGGAATGGTCTTTGGAAGTAGACGCAACAAATTTAATCTCGGGTTTCTGAACACCGCGCCTCGAGAGCAGAGCGACATGATGGCGTATGAAATTGCGGAGTTGCGGAGCTTTTTTTCTTTGGAGACAGTTATCTATTATCTATCGATAGCGCACATGGCAAGTTCGGGCCGCCGTACAAGTATAGGCCAAGGCTGCGCAACCAGGATTGTTTATTATTTTACATATCAGTACACTGAAATGAGGCCAAAATTGGTGGCAATGAACAACTTTTGTATTGAACACTCCCATCGGAGGCAGAAATTATTGACACAGATTGCGCTGAAACACAGATGCGCTAGAAAATCCTTGAAAGTAGTAGTAAAAAAACGCCGTCGTGAAGCATGGGAAAAAACTGGTTATGATAGAATATTAAGCACGGGCCTTTCCCTTGCCCTTGTCAGACTCATCCATTTCTTCATCGGAGTCACTCATGAACTCGTCATCATCATCAAAACCAATGAACTTCCTGGGTGCAGCTTTTTGAGGCACAGAGGGCCCAGAACCGGCATTGGATGTTCCCTCGCTCTCTTCATCCTCGCTGGATGAAGCATCCTCATCACTTCCCTCGTCGCTGGCGCTGGTGCTGGATCCTCCCAGGATTGCATCGCGAAGATTGTCCGTCCATCCGCCGTCCTTTACAGCACGTAGAACTGCCTCACGGGTCTTCTCGCTCATTTCTTCCCTGTCTTCCATCCACTGTCCATCCAACTTCTGTCTGCCGGTGCCGTTCTTCAATTCTTCTTGGCGCTTTTCAGCCATGTCCACCACGGATTGCCATCGGCGCTGGCGTTCCTCCTTTTCTTTCTTGTCCATTTCTGGCTTGACAGCCAGGTATTCTGCAAGAGCCTTTGCCTCATTGACAGTGCGCAACCGGCGTCCATCGAGATTGCGGCTGGAACCATTGTTGTCGCCTTGGTTGCGCTTGCGCTTGCTGGACATGCGGCCGCCGGCGGCACGCAGTTGGGAGCCGAAACCACCCTTTCCACCGCAGACGGGGGCAGTCAGGCGAAGCGGAAGGAGTGTAGAGGTAAAGACGCCATCACGGGTAGGGAGTAAAGATTGGATACATTCGGAAGTGGCGGTGAGTTGCTTGTTATTTGTTGTAGTAAGGACGAGCGACTGAAGAGAAATTGATGACGGGAGATATGAAGCGATCTTGGCTGTCAGGTCTGATGTGCTCGCTGTCGATGGCAAGGTGAATGAAAGTGTCGCCGGCAGCGACAGTCCCGGAAAGGACGACAGTAGGACGTTGACATTTGAGGAAGCCATATTTGAGTGTGTCAGAAACAGTCCCCGAGATAGGAGAGTCTGACTGGTGAGTTGTTTGTAGGAAGAAAATACTGTTGTAGCCTTGAAAGATTGAAGATGTTGCGATAAGATCGAGGATCGGTCGCCGCCACAGCAATGATGACTCATCACATATGGACCTCCCGAGGAGGTCATCCATGATCCATGATTAGTCAGCGAGCTAGTTGGTACCTCTCACGTGACATGCTATGTGATATGGATATCAGGTGACCTGAACCACAAACTGATTAGGGTGCTAACCCTACACCCAATTCGGTCCGTCGCACTTTTCTCGCAGCGAAGCTCCACTCTTCATCCATCATTTAAATCAACCATTATTTTCGGGCGTTGTCAAAGCGATTCCCCGACTTGCACCAGGAACTCGCGACAATGTACGTATCCTTGTTTTTTGCGATTATTTTCGACGATTCACTAACAATGGCGCAGGCTTATCCCCAAGGACGACCGCAAGAAGATCCACGAGTACCTCTTCCGTGGTATGTAACGAGAACCCTCGTCGACGGTCCCCGCGACTTCACGACATCGCGCTCGGTTGCCTGTGTACAGATTCACTAACCTATACTCTAGAGGGAGTGCTCGTGGCCAAGAAGGACTTCAACCTTCCCAAGCACGGTGACATTGACACCAAGAACCTCTATGTCATCAAGGCCCTCCAGTCCCTGGACTCCCGTGGCTTTGTCAAGACTCAGTTCTCGTGGCAGTACTACTACTACACCCTCACCCCCGAGGTACGATCCATCCATACCTAACACATCTACATTGTCCGAATACTAATTGAATAACAGGGTCTGGACTACCTCCGTGAGTGGCTCCACCTCCCCGCCGAGGTTGTCCCCGCCACCCACATCAAGCAGCAGCGTTCCCACGCTCCCCCCCGCGGTATGATGGGCGGTGAGGAGCAGCGCGGTGAGCGCCGTGGTCCCCGTGCTCCCCGTGAGGGCGGTTACCGCCGTCGCGAGGAGGGTGGAAAGGAGGGCGGTGCCCCCGGCGAGTTCGCTCCCTCTTTCCGTGGTGGCATCGGCCGTGGCCGCGGTGCCGCTCCCCAGGAGTAAATGCTGAGAGGCATTGGTGTCCTGTCAACCACTTCTCGGTCAATCTAGAGTCTTGATGGTGTATCCGAATTCGGCTGCCGGATTAGGGGTTTCTTTAAACGGGCCTTACCCTCGGTGCACCTCGTTCCAGCTTTATTGGGACTTGGGGATACAGGAAACAAAATAAAAAAAAGAAATTTATGTTTCCACTGGTTTCATGATGTAGATCAATGTGGATTGATGTAGATCGATTCAATGGTAAATTCATGACTTGAGTGAAATTGGTATTCGTAATGTTCGTGTAGGTCTTCCAGATTTCTTGGCTGGTCGATGTGTCTGCATACTAAAATCTTTACACGTTCTGATCTATGTACAAGGCCTTTCTCTCGGCTAATGTGGGCACCGACTTACAAGAATCTCTTCCGATCATAGCGGACTACAGCCTGCAAAATCACAGATGCTCCAGTAGCGCAATCGTCGGCAGTGGAGAACTCCTCAGGGTGATGACTGAGGCCATCTTTGCATGGGATAAAGATCATGCTCGTTGGGACACGCTTGGAGGTGAAGACACTATCATGACCAGCACCGCTCATAATGGTCCGCACAAGTGACGTTGTATCCGCAACAGAAGCATCTGCGACAACAGCCTGAGCCGACTGCTGCACGCAATCAATGCAATCTTCATGGAACTTGACAGCAGGCGAGTCGAAGTCAAGAGTCCACTCGACGCGACAAGGTTTACCAATACCAGCACCCTCGGCGGCAGCAATAGCGTCGAAAGCAGTGCGAAGCTCCTTCTCAACTTCGGCAACTAGCTCTGTCTCAGGTCCGCGGATGTCCAAACTAAAGCTGACCTCTCCAGGAACTGTGTTCACACTGCCGGGCTTTGCCTCGACAATGCCGACACTAGCAAGACAACCCTTCGAAGCTGCCACTTCCCGTGCACGCACCATCATTTGGGCGAATGCATAGAGGGCGTCTGCTCTATGTTCAAAGGCGGTGGTTCCTGTGTGTGTATCTCGACCGATGACGTTGAGACGGAACCATCTGTAGGCCTGTACAGCTGTCACAACCCCGACTCGCTGGTTTGCCGACACCAGGTATGGACCTTGCTCGATGTGGACTTCGAAATGGGCAGCCATCGGCGTTGACTTATATGAGCACGGAACATCACCCAAGTAACCGATCTTCTGTAGGGCACTCTTCATGGTCTCTGGTGCTGATGCCGCTGTGGGAAGCGATGCCACCGTTGGAACCTCTTTAAGATTATGCGCATGCTCCAATGGGATGCACTCGGCCCATACACCACTTGAGATCATGCTGATTGGGAATCGAGCACCCTCCTCGCTGGACACGGTCAGTGATATTCCTTTTTCCAAGTTGGGAGTTGGGATCTTACTTGGTCCAGTCGACAACTCCGACTCCGCCCTCCGTCTCTAGGCCCATGTCGTTCATAGTCTTGATGACTTCGATACCCGCCAACACCCCCAGGATACCATCGTACCGTCCACCAGTTGGTTGCGTATCAAGGTGACTTCCAATGAATGTGGCAGGTACATCTGCTCTCCGACCAGGACGAACAGCAAAGATGTTACCCATCTCGTCCACGGTGACGTTGCACTTGAGATCTTTCATGGTCTGAATGAACCAGTCGCGGACACTCTTGTCATCTTCTGAAAGCGCTAGGCGCTGCATGCCAGTATCTGTAGGTCCACTATCAAGTCGCCGAGGCTGTTGTTAGCGGTGGTTCTTCGGTAGCCTTGAAAAGGATGGTTGTAGCTTACTCTCCCCATCTGATTCCAGATCCCCATTGACACGAGTGGTGAAGATCGTTCGCCAGACGTTCCTTGTTGACTCTGAGAGCAGAGACCTCAGTCTCGGACAGTTCTGTTGTCAACATAGCTTGTATTCGTGATGAAGAGAAGGTTCGAGGAGGGTTTGAAAAGACAGGGTTGGTGGATTGAAGACACGTTCTTGGGAGAGTTCGTAAAAAGCGAGAACATGCCATAATGCAGCGTCCTATCGCTTTATATAGGAGAGCTGGAGAGTCTGGAGTACTTTGTATGGTCATTGATAAGAAGTGGAGTTGGGCGGACAAAAGTCCGCGGTGCCGCGATAGTCCCCGGTTTACTTCCAACCCCCGCAATATGGAGACATCGCCATGTTACCTCTCCAATCAAGCCATTTTCTGGTCTACTGAGATCGATTGGAGTGACAAATATATCCGTCTAATGTCCATATCTGTTTTGTCTTTAGATAGAATCCCCATAGATCTCACGTATATTCTAGTTCCCAGCATGAATATCGTGGACCATATACTCATTTCCAACCTATTGTTCTCCACTGAAGCATCAAAGTAGTGACCCCATGCTTGTTGGGGTCGCATCTTTGACGTTGGGGTCAATTGGAACTCCAGTATTGGAGTTAACCCATGGTGTTAAATATCCAGGCAAAGCTACCATGGGATGCAACTATGAGAACATGTGTGTAGCTGTCGGATTTCGTAGTCTCAGAAACTTAGCTTCTTCAACAACTTAATGCATACAATATCCATTTTCTTAGGTAGCAGATGAAAGGGTAGAGTGTATAGAAAAGCCATAGGGACAAAATCCAGTCTGGCTCGTTTGCTCATGCTTGCTGTATCCATTTGCTCTTCTTCCATTTCTCTCATTTTCTTTCTCCCCCACCAGTATTTTCCACATCCAAAATGACCAGTCAGCAACCAGATTTCATCGACAATTTGGTTGGACTTTTATATACTGACTATCAGCTATATCAGTTGGGGACCATCTTGAGGCCAATGCATTGTGGGATGGGATGAGAAACCATCTGCCATGACGAGAACCATTCGACAAAGACTTTCCACAAATGGGATGTTTGTACCCACCACCCATGTTGCCGTTTGATCAGAACATCAGAATAATCCTTACGTGGTGAATATTATTATTTTCTCAGACGTTTATTGATGATGCATTCTACAGAGCTGTACTCCAACACCCGCCATCTGCCATTTCGTGGCTTTTTACATCTGCGAGACACGTAAACAAGCTCTAAATCCCTGAGTACCGAGAGCGAGGCCATCTCTGACCAGGTTGTTGGAACAAATACTGAGGACACGGGGCCTTCAAGCCATGATATAGCCGGGGTGTCTCCACGGGTCACTTGCACACTGCAACTCAGCACTATCTCCACTGTCACATTACGACCCAAGTTACCTCCGAGGGCTATCATATTCTCAGTGGAGATATGATCTGGTAGAATCTGGCAGGGGCGACTTGAATGAAACAATACACCAACGTGATTTAATTTCCTGCGCTTATCCAGGTGCGTGGAACTAAAAGGGTGTGGCATTCAAGGTTTGGATACTCCGCCCAGTTCTAATATCTGGGCTTTGTTCGGTGGGCTTTGGGTGGGATCCAAGGTCAAGTATCTAAGCCTCATGTGATGTTTTCCAAGTCCATGATACCATGATTGCAACGAGACCAAGATCAAGACTTTCTGTCATAAAATGAGCAGGTGGGCTTTATGCCATGCGCGAGATGGCCTGCTGGGAGCTTGATAGAATACATGTAGAAATGTTTGGGAAAAGGCTTCTACACCGTTGAATTACTGTATCTTGATAGAGCGTTATATCATTCAGACTCGCTATTTGATCGAAACAAGACACTTTCACATGCTGTACCATTAAGGAAGGGCAGAAACTAGCAGCGATAGAAGAGAAAAATGTTTCTCTTCCTCTACTCTTATCTCTTCGCGTCTCATCCATTTCTCTTATTTTCCTCTTCCCTCTTCGCATCTCACTCCATCATCAATACCACCATCATGGAAGGCCCCCCTTCGCCGGGGAAACCCCTAAAAGAAGAAACGGAACCCAAGCTTCCGCCGAGCCCTGCGAGAGCAGGGTATTGACGTCGTAAGTGCTTGTGTCTCCTCTGGTCTCAACTTGTCGAATATCTTGATTGTCTCCAACTGTCGGGACATCTACTGACCTCCTTCCCCTACACCTACTCTCCCACATATGATCTGAGTTAAGCTTACATCTGGTTTCTAAAGCCCCCCGTTGTCCCACGCACACGGGATCCCGTACTGCCACCAAAGCGTAAACGTGCATACCGACACCCGGGCCGCAGAAGGGCCAATAAAAGAAAAAGTATGTATCGAAATAACATTCCTTGCTGATTTGGCGCTAATGGTGTAAAAGAGACCGAAGCTGAAGCTTCAGCGGCCGCCGCCGCTGGTGAGACCAGTGGGACTTCGACAGCCAATCCTCCTGTTGCTCCGGCCACTGGCTCACACTTTGAGTCCCCCATTGTTCTGCCCTCTTCGTCGTCCTCGACCTCACCCTCCGCCTCGCGCTCCCCATCGCCTGACGTTTCACTTGACGTCTCATCTTCTCCTGCCGGCGCGTCTTCGCCTGTCGCTACGCCCTCCCCTCCCAACGCGTCTGCCGAGCCTTCCCAGTCGGAACCAGAAGAAAACAATGCTGATAATGTGATCTGGGATCCGGTGGACCCTCTGGGCCTGTTTGATGAGCTTGAAGGACCGTTGGACTGGCCATCTGAAGGGCTTTTTGACTAAGAGTCACATTGCTTTCTTTCTTTGTTGTTAAAATACCAGACCCATCCTCATAGGGGTGTTGGTCCATGCGTCTTTTATGGCTTCAATTTGAATATGCTCCTTTCCCATTCCATTGATTTGATTGGTCTTTCTTTGGCCATAACTAGATAAAATACTATTAGCTACAAGCCTATGCTTTATCATCTTCTCGTGTTTAGATATGGGAGGCACAGCTTAGCCGGGGCGAGCTCCGGAAACCAGCCAGATGCCTTGGCCATGTCAAAAGCCATGGCATCTACTTTCTACAGGTCACACTCTTATAAGGCACCTTACACAGAGTATTCGTCTCCCTTTCCTCTCATACCATGTGGCCACGTCAAATTGTCTGGGGCAATAAGAGTTGATACTGGTGGTTGTTAAAGCTGGGCTATAATGGATATGGAACTTGGAAACCCAAGACTTTCCAGAACCGGGGAACCATGGTAAAGAACCCACCTAAACTTAAAGTTAGTGGCGGTGCCCCGGGGGGTATCGATATTTATGCCGGCGTTGATAGGGTGAGCCTGTCATGTGTCACAAAATATTATACCCGTTGAGAGGTGCCCGGAATCGGTGATAGAGGATGCCACTGAGTTAGATGATAGCTGTGCAGACCAGCGTAAAAGGCGATTCAACAGATCCGTGATAGACGTCGAAATGATGGTGTGTGATAAAATCGGCTAGAAGTCGGTATGCGATTAGATGAAACTAAGGCTGTGGAGGTGGATCATTAAGGCCGGAATTCTGTAGGTGAAACTAAAGTCGTGGCAGCTGTATGAAGTTCGAGTCGCAGTAGACGAAACTGGAGACGAGGTGATTGAATAAAGTACATGTTGAAATGAGAGTTGGTATTGTTGCTTGGCAAAAATATGCGCTCTATAAGGACTGTGGACGAGATCTTACAAATATATCTCGTTTTAGAGCTCGAGATGTTAGCCAGCGTTGATGGAATTGGTCAACTACTATGATATACTACGTATAATATCTAGAATATGGTTAAATTTTGTACAGCGTCACCAAAGAAAGAAGTGAGCCGGGTGAAACCACTACACCTGCCCCAGATACTATAATTGTTAGCTAGGGCAAACATATCACGTGATCGAAGACTGGGTGACTGACTGGGTGACTGGGTGTCGGTCAAGTACCAAAATCAGTGTGCTAGCAATCGCAAACCCAGGTGGCCTAGTTGGTAAGATCGCTAATGGGCCATAACTGCTCTAGACTTACCCACTAGGCAACCTACTACGGGTTCGAATCCTCAGACCGCAAGTTGCAGGCCGATGTCTCGCCATTTCCCCTGCTGGATTTGTCCATTCTTTTTAACCCCCTTCTATTTAGTTTTTTTTTCCCATCAATTATTAAATATGGAACTTATGTTCAAACTTATGAAGATATAGTAGGGTTACTTAAAGCAGAAGTTAATTAGGGCCAACGTATGACGTAGCAGGGGTTCGTGTCGGTTAAGTATCAAAATCAGTATACTAGCAACCGCAAACCCAGGTGGCCTAGTTGTTAAGATCACCAATGAGCCATAACTGCTCTAGACTTACCTACTAGGCAATTTACCACGGGTTCGAATCCTCAGACCGCAAGTTGCAGGCCGATGTCTCGCCATTTCCCCTGCTGGATTTGTCCAATTCTTTTTTTCTTCTCTTTGACGCCCGCGACATGCTCACTCCTCACTAAGTCAACCGCATCTCACTCTTTCATCCACGACATCTCTCACTCTCACACCTCCCTCCTTCGTCCACAACATCTCTCTGTCACCTGACTTCGTCACCCCTCATTAGGAGAGGGATAGCTATCATGAATACATCATCTTGTCTTCCCTTTAGCTTTCAGAGCTTACAGCTGGTAGCATATCCTGGCTACGCCAAAGTAATCTTTTACGGCAGAAGAGAGCCGTCAGGCTTTTTCTAGAAACTAAGGCCCTGGGAGTCCACGCCAGAGCCGATTGGGGTGGTGGTCTGTGTGCAAGTTGCGAGCCGATGTCTCGCCATTTCCCCTGCTGGATTTGTACATTCTTTCTGTTTTCTTCTCTTTTTTCTTCGGGGGGTGGGGGAGGTAACATTAGCGGAGGCGCTCTAAGTCGATGTTGAAGCTGGAGTTCGTTTACGAATTGCCAAGGTGTACCGGATGCAGTGTTATAAAGCTGAGCTAGGTTAATAAATGTGAGAGTCCACTGATTCTGCTTTCAGCCTATCTATCTTTCAATTTGTCGCAATATCACCGCTGTCCTATTCTTCTATTTCCGTCCTCTTCGTGTTCCTTTCTTTGCCTCTCTCTCGGGGATTCAGCATGCGCTACCTTGTGTCCTATAATACATTTCCTGGTCGTATTTGATGTGCCCGAGTAATCTTAAATCAAGTGAAAATTAGCCCATTTAAGAGTCCATTTTTCATTCTGTAAAACGTTAGAAAGACAATTGCTGTTACCCCGTGCAACCTGCTCTGCCATTACCTTTCTATTATAAATCACCGGAATCAGCTTCGAGTTCTGTCATATGATGTGGCGGACATTCTATCGTTTTAGGACTTGACGAAGAAGGCTCTGGTGCGTAGTTCTCCGAGACATAGTGAACAACCTCCGCAAATTCAGCATGCAGCGATTCATACCCGAGCATCCCAAGATCCCCCAGCTTGCTAAAGAAAGATACCCTGATGTCCCAAGATGGCCTCCTGCGTGGACTATACCTCATATTTTGTTTATAAGCTCGTCCTCCTTCCTCGTTGACGAACTTGATGAAGTAAACAGACCGCCTTGCAGTTTATCCCTGGTACTCACAAGTGCCCTCTTTCCACATTACAGGAATTTGGTCCTTGAGCGCCGCCAAGGGATATTCAGCTGCATTTTCACCATCAATGTGCCAGCAAGGTAACCCTCTAATCTTTTCAATGGAGGAGATAGTCCCCTGATCCAAGTCTACAGGGAAGTAGATTGTCAAGACCTCATAAAGCATTTGAGAAGGAGAGATCGGGTGGGCGGTTATGATATTTCCCCTATCTGGGAGTGGGCAAGCAACTTCTTGGCTCCATAAGCAAGTTGCAAGAGCTTCATTTAATCCAAGGCAAAATTCCGACGTACGGGACACTTCGAGGAAAGAGGAACTAGATGGCGGAAGGGAGAAAAGAGAAGAAGAAAAAAAAGAGTGAACAAATCCAGCAGGGAAAATGGCGAGACATCGGCCTGCAACTTGCGGTCTGAGGATTCGAACCCGTGGTAGGTTGCCTAGAAGGAAAGTCTAGAGCAGTTATGGCCCATTAGCGATCTTACCAACTAGGCCACCTGGGTTTGCGATTGCTAGCACACCGATTTTGATACTTAACCAACACAAACCCCACCACGTGACAATTCGGCCTAATCAACTTCTTCTTTAAGCAACCTTACTATGCTTGGGTCGAGCCTAAAAAGTTCGACCCCTAGCTCGTTGAGGGCTGGGCTTTGTAGAAGTCTGATAGTAGTGCCAAAATTTTCATGGTGCTACAGGACTTGTTAAGGCCTAGTCCAAAGTTACGGGTAGAAAGGTACCCGTTTCTGGCCTCAAAAGCGGTCCTTTTTAGCGTCAATCCCACAGGGCCTCATGTTCTAGTTGTAAATAATATCTTATAAGGTTTGAGTTGAATCAAACATCAGAGAGCACATAGAGAGTTCATATTCAATTCGTCATAGCTCCACTACTTAATTGGATTCCTTTCCCCGAAAGGCGAGAGTCATATGGGCCGAACCCAAACCAACCTCAACATCGGCTTCCTTCATCTCCTCATCTTGGTCACCGGACAAAAGACCACCCTCAAGACTTCCAGGGTGGGTAGTGATGGTGGGGTGAAAAGGGGGGTTGTTGATGCGGGGAGCTCTTGGTTGAGCTCAGCAGCTGAGTTGGCAGCTCTATCTGCAGCTTCTATTAACTGTTAATATGAATTCGGTATGAATGTTTGTCGTGATACGTACGTTTGGCCCTTAGAGCTCTCTTTCTTCTTGCGTAGCGCTGATGTCTGGACTCTTGTGGACGGTCATCACATGCGTTGGACATCTTCTTCTTTGGGACGAGATCCCAGGCCCAGACCTTGGTGGTCTTAACTTCATCGGCCATGACGGTATCTTCAAAGACCTTGTCAGCCTCTATCTGATGTTCAGGGGTTTTTTGGACCATTTTAGATGTTTTATTTGATGAAGAATGATGGTGAGGATGAAAGTGAAGAGAGGGAAGACAAGGAAGAGACGGGATAGAGATGCAATAAAGAGGAAGGCGAGAAAGAGACGACAGTTATGCTGTCTTCAACGTTGGGAGAAACTATCGAGACATCAAACAGCCTGTCTCGCTCAGTTTGCCGGCATCTACCTAAATACCTACATTAGGTATCTTGGTCACACTCATACTAGGAAATCTAGAATATACCATGGTATATAGATCAATACAAATATGATCAAGTGTTTTAATAGGTAGGATGTACATCTCATACATATACAGTGTCTCATTATTTTTTTTACAAAATTCCCTTTACCTGAGTAGGGCTGAGAGAGACCTAGAGAATTCTGGGACAAGCAAGCAATGTAATATTGAATATATATCTGATCAATACTACTATGCTGCTGTAGGTACATATATAGATGCATTTCGCAGTCCCCGGGACGCAGATCAACTTAGGGCACGGGTATCCACATGAGGATCGACATGCATTCTAAGAACCAGGGTCTTCATAGTCTAGCAGGGATATGAACGAGAAAAAATAAAATTTGAAACTAAACTAAACATTGTATCTTGTTATAAAAAGCAAAACCGATCTCAAAAAAAAAAAAAAAAAAACGAAAAGGACCCCTGTCCGAACTAAGAAAGTGTGGCTGTATGCCGCACAGTGGTTACCGATCACGTGCATATTTGCCTCAACCTCAACCAGTGGTTGACAATCAATTTTTTTCCCGAGGGGCGAATAATCCCCTGCGCTATATCAATCGAAGACTATACACTGTACGCACCCGTGTATCCTACCTCCAAGTGTAGGTGGTCAATTCCCGACAAGAAGTCCCATATTACAACTCAAGGACTGCCAACCACCAACCACATTCCAGTCAAAGGGAACGCAGATCAACAACTTTATACTCTTATACTTGACATTCACCCGAAAGCCATATCGAGTGAAACAAGAACAGAAGAACAAAAAAAATGTTCGAAGACTTCTCTTTCACCTCGGCGTCGTCGCGACCAGCCCGTCTCGCCCTCGACCCCGACGACCGTCTAATGGTCGACAACGACAGCAACCTAATCTCGCCACTCTCCTCACGCTGTCCATCACCACAATCCCAACGCTTCCGCAACATCTCCCGCTCCCGCTCCTCCCACTACCACCGCAACCAACAACCCCCAACATCCGTCCCCTTCCCCTATGACTCAGACCACAAACGACTATCAATCTCAACCCTAACTCAAAAACTACACGAACACACCCTCGCCACACCTCCAACGGGAGATATCCAACCCCGAACCGGGAGACACACAAACACACCCGGCTCACGCCGGTACCCGGGAACAGGATACGTCCTCACACCCCCAGACACAGACCACTCGGACGACTCCGGTGTCGGCGAATGTCTCTCTTCACCATCCGCCTCCTCAACAACAAGTCCAACTTTCATGCCCCCAGACCTCCTCTCCGACCTACCGGATTTTGGTCTCGGTCACCCCTTCTACCCACAACCCCATCCCTACCACCAAGATGTCCGCATGCAGCGTCAGCAGATCTCAAGACTCCAATGCAACGAGTCTGAAGTCGAAGCTATGCAGCGCTCGCTACTAGACGAACAACCTGCTACACCGGACTTCTGCGACGAAGACGATTGTCATCCTAGCTCGTTGCCGCCCCGGTCGTCGCCTCGACGGAGGGCGGTTACGCTTGCGCGCAGCCGGTTTGGGCCTGAGGGGGGTGGTGAGGGGAGGGCGAGGAGGAAGAGTTCTTCGGCGGGGGTTTTGGCGAGTCGGGTTGAGAAGAGTCATTATGGTGGGTTTGGGAAGAGGAATGAGCAGGGGCTTCGGAGGAAGAGTCTTGTTAGTGCGGCTTTGGCTTCGATGGTTGAGAGGGAGGATGAGAGGGATGATTATTGAGAGGTTTGATTATTGAGAGGTTTGATTATGGTTATGGTTAAGGTTGGTGGTGCATTCCATGGATGGAGTTTGTATATAGGGCATGTACTCGATTTTGATACCCGCTTAAAAGAAAGAAAGACACATTCCGTTGAGATGATCGACGGCCAGGATTATTTTGACACATTCCTTGGTTGTAGTATATTCCTACATAGTTTTACTATGATTGATTGTACTCGTGATCATTTTTTTCTGGGCATTGTTGTATCAGCATTAACAATTCTCTAGACTGTCCCTAATTATACATATGCACATCTAAGAAGAGCTCCAAAAAAAAGGATCAGACTATAGAAATCTTACAGAGGCCGTATTACAGACTACAATCAATGAATTCAAAAGTTGAAAATAACCCGAATGTCGACATGCGTCAAGTGTAAATTGATAATAGATACAAAGCGAGTCTCAGACTCAGAAAAAAGTAGTAATAAAAGTAGTAAAAAGAAAAGACAAGATAGAAAAAAGAACCCTCCAAAAAGAAAGAGAAAAAGAAATAAAAGAAAAGAATCGAGACTCGTATCCAGCCAGTCCATCCAATCCAATCCAATCCGACACCCAAGCGCCACGCTCTTCACAATAATGGACGTAAATTATAACCGAATTCCCGGTCCAATAGTCACAACACACAACCAGCTGCCAGCAGTATCAGAATAGACAAAGTTCCCAGAACTCCGTCTAATTCCCCGACTTCCAACTAAAGAACTTCCTCAACCCCTTCCTCTGCGCCGCCTTCCTCTCATCACTCTTCCTCCTCTGGAACTCAAATCGCGGACTTGTCTCACCAGAGCGCCGCCCTTGTCTCTGCAGCTCATCCAGTGCGCGTGCAGGACTGCCCCGTAAGCCCATCGTCTCTGCGTTCGCAGCCGCGAGGACGGACTGGACATGTGGGTCGAAGTACACCGGGTCGTAGGTGTAGGGATCGAAGGGGGCAGGGTACTGTGGGAGTTTGGAGGTGGAGACGGAGCTTGGGTAAGGGTAGGCGGAGTCGAAGGTGGAATACACTGGTGAGTGCATGGGTGAACCACTCGGTGTCTCGAGGGGGATTTCGCGGGGTGTGGGCGGTTCTTCGTGGTCTTGGGAGTAGGGGTAGTTGGGGTGCTGGTGGTGGCCGGGTGTTGTTTCATCTTCCTGTAGGTCGTCCTCTGGTAGGTCGAATAGGATGCCTCTGTCGCGCCCGTCGACTTGGGCCCAGTCGCCGTTGGCGTAGACGGGTGAGCCCGGCTCGCCGATCTCACTTTCTGAGTAGAAGGTTTGGGTTGATGGGGTGGAGGGGCGACGGGAGAAGTCTAGATTTGGGAGGTTGGATTCTTCTGTGATGGAGGCCATGCGTGGTGATTGTGGGATCTCACTGTCGTTGTTCGCGTAGTCGTAGGTATCGATGCGTAGATCGTTGTTTTCAGTGCGCTGGGCAGGTCGGCTCCAGTAGTTGAAGCCTTGATCATTGGCAGAGTACTCTGATAGAGAGCGGATGCGTTCGCCGATGTGTGGCGAGGACGACGGGATGTCCGTCGGCTGATCTTTGGAGGTTTGGTGATCAGCTGGGAGGGAAGTGTACAATGAGTTGGTAGAGTAGAATGATGGCAATGATGCATCAGTGAATTGGGACAGGGACACCCGGTCTAGTCCTTGCTCGATGGAGAAAGTAGAGTCTCGCTGATTGTCTGCGGAGACCATGGAGCAATTATCGACATCTTCAATGTATGAGACGATGCGTGCGAGATCCAGCGACTTGCGCGGATTCAGGATCTCAAAGCAGGCGCCACCGTGTGAGACGGTGGCAACGGCCTGCGTACTGGCCAGCATTGAGTCCGAGGTTTGAGGTTTGGAGGCCTCCGCTTCTTCTGCTTGAGCTTGGGCCCTTTGTTGAAGCTTTTCACGAAAAGTATTCTTGCACTATTATCAGTGAGCTGGGTCTTTGTTGTGGTGTTTCAGTCAACTTACCACTCGCTTCCTATTAGGTCTAGCACGAGTCCCTAGATCCGAGACAACGGGTAGTCGAGGGCTTTGAGTGGCTTGATAATGAACTATTGAACTGTCAATAAAGGTTCCGGGAGGTTCGAGCGAATAAAGTCAATTGGAGAAGCTTACCGGTCTGGGCTTCCCCGATCTCAGGTTCTTCACTCCAGTGAGAGATGATGCTGTGGGAGTATGAAGGAGAGAGCGGCGGAGGACTCGATGCCACGGAGGAGATAGATACAGGATAAGAAATGGTGAGAGGGGATGGGCGGTTCAAATGCAATGCAGCTGTTTTTCGCTTCAATTTCCTTCCTGCATGATCGACGGGGTCGGTAATGCGGTCTGCAGACTTGGAGAGGAACTTGTGGTAATCGTGGAGAGACAGGGCTCCCGTGATACGAGATTTGATGGATCGAGGGGGGAGGGACAAAGCGTCTGCCGAGTCTTCCAAAAGGGGTTTGGAAAGAGGAGTAGGACATGCATGATGGTCGTGTAGTTGAAGGCAATTGTGACAGATGGGGCTGTCCAGCAGCTCACCGTGCCATATGCCATTGGCAGCGGAGTAGTTGAGGTTTTCGTTCATTTCGGCTTTGCAATTGCAAATATCACCGATTTCGTCTTTGTGTTGAAGTCCTGCTTCTTGTTCTCTTCTCTTGTTCTCGGACCACTTTTTAGATTATCGACATATCTAATGCAGTAGATCCAAACCCACTTCTCCACACTGAATTTGATTCGTCAGATTTACGCCGCAAGGGATGAGATAGATAGGCTTACCGGTCGCAAAGATATCAATAGATCACAATCAAACCAAACTGCAAGGTACAGAAGTGCAGGAAGAGTAATTTTATGTTTGAAACGAGAAACGAGAAAATAAAAAAAATCGAAAATGGAAAACCGGGAAGGGAATGTGCCTGGATCTATGAATATCCACCTTACCCACGGTATCCATTTCTCCACTGAAATAACAATGAGTATATAAGCCGTCTAGCCCGTCTAGCCAGTCCAGTCCCGTTGAACCAGTCTTAAGGTCAGGGGAAATCCGGTTAGACCGATCCAATTAGGGCAGACATTAGAGAAAAGAGTGAAGTTGAGAGAAGGAGAGTCGAGACCCTCAACAGTTCCCAGGACCCATGGTTCGTCGATCAACTGAACGTCATTGAAAAGTCGGTGTCGGATGTTGATAATTATATAGTTACTATGGAGTAGTTAATAGTTACTAGCTAACAGTAGAATACAATAGAAGATAATAGGATTGTGCCCAAAATCACTTGCAGATGATCTCAGCCTCGATCTCCAATTTAGTCCATTTAGTCCCTGTTAGCCCCTGTTAGTCCGTTTAGCATCTACCCTCCCGTTTCCATCTCCAACCAATCATCCACCCCAGATCCCTAATCTTCACCAAACCTCTTTTAAACCCAGAACCAGTCGGCGTACAGAACAAACACCTGTCTTGGTTCAGGCTGAGCAAGGCAAAAAATGACCATTCGGCTGTGGCGGCTTTACCACCCTTGATTGGATATCCGGTTCAAATCCCAATGGTGGCGATTCGAAAAGAAAATTTTCCCCCTTCTCCACTGGCAACATCATGACTCGGTCATTCGTATCTGACTTCCTTCCAAGGTGAAAGTGGATACCTTGTACATACAAGGTAAATGTACATATACTCCCGTACCTTGGGTATGTATGGAGTACATTCGTATGCAGTGATGTACCGTTGATGCAGCAAGGAACCCCCGGGGGTTTTCCTTTCTACTGGGTCATGTGATCCCCGGCCCAATGGCTGTTCATGATTCAAGTATCGGCAATTTTTCGGCTATGAGAGAATTGACTTCAATTGATGTATACGGAGAACGCCGTGGTGGTTGAACTGGGCCTCTTTGATCCATGGTCGGGCACCCAGTACCCTCGTACCTGGAAGAGTCAAGGCACACATGCAGATACAAATTGCGACACAAGATCGGCATGCCAGCTCATCTTAAGTTAAATCGGCCCAAGTCATCTGCCCTGCAATACGACTGCAACCCCCAGATTTGTGTCTCACATGCATGATGTACTATGCACTATGCAATTTAAACGGATTGCTGCCTCAGGCTACCCCGGTGATCATTGGGACTTAGTGAGCATTTTTCTTCCAAGGTGGGCTTTACTGGTAGTACAGAATCTTCCAAAATGGGTGGCAACTGGCAACTGCCCGAAGAAGTATACTCGGGTGCTACCGCGTTGTCCGAATAGGAACTACGATCGACATGACTTTCTCCTGGTACTTGGTGGAACCATACGAATAGATCTCATGGATAAAGATCCCGATCGTGTAATCTCGATTCAACTCTTTATTCAACAAACTCAGGACTCCCTAGGTCATGCAGACTGAAGCTATAAAAAAAAATGACTCGAAAAGAAAAACCGAAGTGATAGGGAAAGCAAGAGCAATTTAATATCATAATGCGGTCGTGATGTGGTATCAAACTGAGAAAGCAATGAGGAAAAAAAAAGGAACAATGAGCGCAGGAAAACAAAACAAAAAATAAAAAATAAATCAAACAAAAATAAACAAAAAAAGAGACCATTTGCCTATGCACGTATGTACGAAGTATGCAAGGGCCGCACTACCCGTAGACCAGCCCACCACACTCTCAGTACCGTTTGTACTTCTAAAATCGTCGTCAGCCACACCCACCAAAACAGGGTTCGTCGGAAACCACTTACATCTTCCATTTTGCGCCGATTGCTCGGGTCAAGGGTATTCCCCGCACCAAGCAGAGTCTGTCCCACAGCCTTGGATACTCCGATAGCGGGTCGGAGGATGACCGTGGGTGCACGTTTCCAGACTGCCTTTGCGGCCGCCTTGGCGCTCCCACTCTCCACCACCTCCCCAGGTACGGCGACGATCGCATCACGAGCTAAGAGTAGATCGCGTTCGAGACCGCTGAACGCCCCACGCAGTCCCTGAACCACCCCGACCGGCTGATCTGCGTACAGTGAAATCTTCTTCGCTTCGTCTTCGTCGA